TGGTAAAAACACAAGAGCAAGGAGAAAGCTTTCTCACTCCTTCCATGATTTTAGGACAGGTGGACAGGCAGGTTTAGGATTTTGTAGCACCAATGCCAGGTACCTCCTGGTTTGTCCAGGCCCCAGAAGTGCCAGAGACAGGAGACAGATCATGAATTATCTAAGAAAGAAATGGAAAATTCTGTAGGATTTGCCTGATCAGTATAGACACAAAACAAACAGAATAAACTCCCAGTCCATGAACACATCTCAAGCCCATCTACAAAGGGGACATTCTGGGAGAAAGCACTCCTGGGTCTCTTGCCCATCCCTTCTTTAGTTTTAAATATTTCCTTTGTAAGAACATGATACAGTACCAACAATTAGGCTTTTTTTTTTTCCCATTAAGCAGACACATGTAAAGTAGAAATTCCATCACTACTGCTTATACTTGGTATTAAGTGGCTTGCCCTTGGGAATTCCTATTACAAATTGTCCAATTATGTCCCTTCCTTTTTATTTCAGCAGAAAGTTGGATTTCCAGTTAAGTATACTTTAAAAATTTCCAGTTGAGGGGTAGGGGCTAGTGAGAAGCAGAGACTCACTTCACTTGTACCTGTTTTTCCACCAGCCTCACAGAGGTGACACCAAAGAGGCTATCACCAATAATTGGACTTAAGGGTTTCCATATGCCCACTTAAGAATCCCCAGAGTTTTTTCAGTCTCCTCAACTCAACCCATTTACATTCAGATTTAACTGACATTGATTTAGGCACTGGTTTTCCAAGGTGCTGAACATACACCATCAATTGCAACTGAAATTCTGAGTGTTCAGCCCTTCTCAATATCAGATCCTTCCTGTTTAAAAGAACAAAAAGCAGATTTAAATTTTATTAAAGCCAGAACCATATGCTCAAATGAAGGGTTATTAACTCCTTAAGTGATTCTGTAAGTTAATATGTCTTTATTAGTTGGCTCTTTTCAACTTAGCAAGTGTTGTGGAATAGGCCATTATAAATTACTGAAGCTTTATTTGAACTGGCTTCTAGTAAAACATAACACACCTACTGGAACATTGTTGTATAAATGTCACCTCCTGATGAGCAGTCTGGACTAAACCACAGAATTTTTTTCTACACTACTGCTAACACACACAAAGCCTTTAATTTGTTTCATTAAACTGGTCCCTGGATAATATTCAGAAGTGACAAAGACGGCAATAATTCCTTTGTGTGCAGCATCTCTACCATTTTCCACCAGCTCTCAATTTGGTCCTATATTTGCAGGGGAATTGAAAAAGAAAAAAATATTACACCACTATATAATTAGATTTGTTCTTGTCTCGTGCCTGGGCAGACACAAGCTTTTTCTCCACATATACCAGTAAAAAGAAGAGAGGCTTTTGGGGAAGAGGGACTGATCAAGGACTTGAATTTTTTTGAGGCCATGTAGAATTAGGCAGCAGAAGCCACATACAGATGGATGTAATTACCCACCTATTTCCAAAGGCACTACAGCTCTTCTCTTCAGCCCTGGAGGTTTACCATCTCCACTTCTACACATACTCCAAAGAGTTCCTCCCCATATTGATCCAAACACAGGAAGGAAAATGATTAAGAAATATCCAGAGTTAGCAAGATTTCAGATTAGTCAGCAGCTATCTGTAGATGCAGCAGGAGTAGCCCTGATTGCATTAACTCGATGCTGGGAGCTCATCTGCCCTCTCTGGCTCTTTGCAAACTCTGAAACAGCTCTTGCCACATTACTGACTTGGTCTTTCACACTCACTCAGGGCATCTTTGTCAGAATCTTCATTCTTGGCCTTGTAGGGTTTTTTTTTTCCTGTAAGAGGGATGCTGAGGATGTGGCCCTCAGCACAACTGCATCTTCAAAGATCGCTTCCTGCACATTTAACATGTTTATTGCCAGAAAAAATTCCTAACCAGGTGACAAATCACTGGAGACTGGTCTTTAGGGGAAATATTCAATGAAAAGCAACTCAAGTTCCATTTTTCTTTGAAGGGCAGAAAAGGAGTTTGCAGGGGGCCAGGCTTCCAAATGCTACCTTATCCAGGAGAAACAATTGCTGCCAAGCACTGGCCTCCACACTTGGCTCTTTCTTGTAGCCTGATCACTACAGGAGAAACATTACCAGCTAAGCTTCCCTGTCCCTTGCTACAGTAAAATTGTATCCTCAAAGGCTCTCAGTGCTTCTTGGAAGGCTCCTGACATCAGAAACAATACTGGAGTGCACCAGCGTTGATCCTCCAGTCTTACCACCTCCATGTAGATCTTCCAACCAAACATGGCAGAAAAATGGCACACAGGGAAGAAATTAGCACTTAGAAGCATCCTTGTCGATCCCTGCACTTCTCTCTATCCCTTATAATTAACTTGAAATTGATACTTTATAAAATTCTCACTGATATCAAAAAAGAGTTATATGCTAATGAAAGACAGGGGAAAAGAAGTTTTAGAGTAATAAAGAAAATAATTTTAATCCACGCTTAACAGGTGATATTTAAAGTTATAGCTGGTGGTAGTATTTCTGACAGACATTCAGACAATGATAAGCTGTATTAGTAATAGGCACATTTGGTTTTTTTAAATGCCCTATTTCATGCAAAGGAGATGACTGAGAAAAAAAAACGCAAGGTGAATGCAAGCAATCACAAGAGGCCATTCATCATTCTGCCTACATTTTTTTTATGAATACATTCACAGAACTGCAACTGTGCTCATTCCACAAGTAGCTCAGGGCAGAGGGATTAAATCAGACAACCTTTATAATTGTTCTCCAGCTGTCAGCCAGCCTTTTTTATCTGACACCATGTGTAGACAATATCATTTCCATTAACAATGCCACTCATTTAGTGGCATTGGACTGAAATGATGACATTAAGTGGATAATGCCAAAAAAAATAGGAAAAAAAAAAAAAGATTACGAAAACCCAAAAAGCTGAACCAGTTAATTGGTTAATTGGCAGTTTCTCAAACACCCACAGCAAGCAACATTGGCTCCACTGGTGTACCAGTAATTAAAAAGCTAATTACTATTTTATTTCAGAAAGTGAGGAACCCTAACAATAAAGTAATAAGAAATGCAGCTTGCTGAAGTGAGAATAGCAACACTGCTGTCATCAAGAGATCCCTGCAGCACCATCACCTTGGGAAGGTTTGCACACAGACTTGTCACAAGAGTAATTAGCTAATTAGAAAGCTATAAAATACCTCCTTCCCCTTTCAGCATCTGAGATCCCAGATATGATTCCAGATTTAAATGGAAAATTAACACTATTACCGTACTTACTTTGATGAAACCTTTTCTGGGCTACATTCAAGAGATAAATTACTTTGGGCCAAAATGTTTTTAATTAATCCCTCTCTTAACTCCACAGGCCGTTTCAGATATATCAGCCTAAACTGAACTTACCCTTTCATTTGAAACCACTGCTGAAAATGCTGGGCAACCTAGAATTGTACAGAAATACAAGGAACAGAATCATCTAAATCCCAATGTTTCAAGTGGAAGAATAATTGCACTTTGCAGAACTTTCAATACATACACAGCATCTTCTGAACAACATCACTGCTGTCTCCTAATGCTGTCACCTTCCTCCTGACCACACAGCTCATCAGAATGCTTGAGCAAGCAAAAACCATTCTGGGGCGAGCCAGTACCAGCACTGCTTGTGCTAGGCTGAGAAACAAGAGGGTCCTGTGCTCCAAAGGGTGATGCTGTTACTCAGTACGGTGCAGAAGGGGTATTTACACTGATGTAACAGAGTGTGAAATGCAGAAGGGGGGAGTTGGTGGGTGTGGTACACATGAGCAGAAGCACAAACTGCAGTTACTCAGGGTTACCTATTGTATTTGTGGGGTGCCCTCATGGCAGGAAGGAATGATGAATCTGACTCCATGTTCTCAGAAGGCTAATTTATTATTTTATGATACTATACTATATTAAAGAATACTAAACTACATTATACTAAAGAATACAGAAAGGATAATTACAGAAGGCTAAAGAGATAATAATGAAAACTTGTGATTCTCTCCAGAGCTCTGACACAGCTTGACCCTGATTGGCTAATAAGTCAAAATAATTCACAGCAGAAACCAATGAAATGATCACCTGTTGGATAAACAATCTCCAAACACATTCCAAAGGAGCAAAACACAGGAGAAGCAAATGAGATAAAATTGTTTTCCTTTTTCTCTGAGGCTTCTCAGCTTCCCAGGAGAAAAATCCTGGGTGAAGGGATTTTTCAGAAAATATGAACGCCACAGTTACCCATACGTAGTCCTTTGGAAAAGGAACCCTTGACAGCTTGTGAAAACAGCTGCCAGGCTATTTGGGAAAGAAAGGAGATTCACAGAATAGTCTTTTTCTGTACCAAAGAAGGAATGCATTCCAAAAAGGAGATTTCAAAGGGGAGAGGAAAGAAAAAGCCCAGAAATGCAAAGCAGAAAACACTGACCTAGCAACATGGCCAGGTCTGTGTTTGATAGGGAGCAGGAAAGGACTGTTCTCACATCAGTGGGCACTTGGAGCATGCCACAGAAGGATGGCAAAGTTGGAGGCCACTGCTGAAATGCACTGCCTCAGGAACACCCAGCATTGCTGCTGGCAGCACTGCTACACTTCAGCAAATTCTATTCTAAAAATTGCCATGAGAAAGAAGTATGGGAGTAAGTCACCCTTCATGGGTTATTTCTATTCACACTGAACAGCCTGTCTCATGAAAACACACATTTTATAATCCACATTTAGTCTTTTATTCACACATTTATTTAATCAGCTGCAGCACAGCTAGGAATGTCACCAACACCCACCCAAACATACAGGAATGATACACAAGAATTGCTTCAAGCAGCTTTAGTGCTAATAGAGTTGATTAAACCCATTGTGAGATACAGGCTGACATATGAAAAAGCAGAGTTAATCTTGTACTAGTTATGGAACAAAACTCCTGCCTCCTAAGCGCTTTTTATGGAGGAAAGAAAACCAAAGTGAAAAGCAGTTTAAGGTTTTTTTTTATTTTTTTAATGAAGTGCTGCTGAAAATCATTAGCTGACCAATGACAGCATTTTCTAGTTGAAATTTAAAGATTGTTCAGAGCTCCATCCAACCTGATCTTGAACACCTCCAGGGACGGGGCATCCACAGCTTCTCTGGGCAATCTGTTATAGCCCTTACAGTAAAGAATTTTTTTCTTTATATATAATCTAAACCCTCTCTGTCAGTTTGAAGTCATTGTCCCTTGTCCTGCCACTCCAGGCCCTTGCCAGTTGTCCTTCCCCATCTTTGTTGAAGGTTCCCTCAGGCACTGGAAGGCCATGATAGATCTGCATACAAAAATCTGTACATTCCACAAATCAGCATCAGTTGAATTTTAGTCCACTGATGTGCTGTTCAGTGTGGGACACCTCAAGTTCCACTGTGGATTAGAAGCTTATGTTTTCTCATACAAATTCGCAATGGAGCCATGTAAGAAATTAATTTATTGACATAACTTTTGGAGAAATTAATGCTCAGTGACACAAAGACCAGGAACTGACAAACTGGTATTTTTCCCTGCTTACCTCCAACAGGGATTTCTACATCAGCCTATCCTCTGTCACCCCTGCTGTAATTCTTGAGCACAATGAGAAGGACTGTGGTTCTTATTTCAGCTTTTCCTCTGCTTTCTCTGCATTTTGAGACTAGTCTCAAACATTTACTTCTTATATTAACAGTAATTTTATAGGTAGTTATAGAGATTACAATTTCTTGGAAAGCAGCGACTGGAGCTATGATCCCAAACCTTCTCCAGCTCTTCAGGAAAAACTAAATTCTTTACTGATGTAGGTTAATCTTCACCCTAATATGTAAAAGGGAAAGAAAAGTAAAAACAATCAGTCACAGGCACTATCAAAGGTGGCTGGATTTCAGCTTTCAAGAAAGAGAGAAGCTTTTTGAAATTTGTCTACTACATCAAAATAAACCCCTGATATAAGTTAAGATAGCATTTGAAAAGCACTTAATAGGATACTGATTCTTTGACAAACACTTATTATCAGATTGCGAAAGCAGACTGTGATTACTTTCTTTTTTTTTTACACATAATTACAAAATGTTCTCAATTAAGTGATGAGTCAATTAAATGTATCCCCTTCACTGCAGGATTCTGTGCATGCAGCATGTATACAGCAAACAAAAAGGCAAGACCTACTGCACATTTTTCTTATGAAGCTGCCACTAAATGGTCCATCCTTGTGTTACACTCCCCAAAAGGATTAGTGCAACTGTACAGTGCTTAGTCCATCATCATCCACTGAATTCAGTCTTACTACACTTAATCCTAACATGAGTTCTGGGGTTGGTGTAAACACCAAATAGTACAGACAGCATATTTTAAGACTGTGGACAGTTTCCAAGAGATACCCACCTTTAGCTTGCCAAATGAGTCTGGCTGAAGATTAGATTTCCATGGTAAGTGGGAAAATGAGGCATTTCCAGGCTCATTTCCTTTCTTCAGTGCTTGTGAGAGAGAACCAGCTGTGCTCACTCAATGGAGGAGAAACATGTCAAAGGCTGTACCCAGCCTACACAAAAAGAGGGTAAGACTATACCACCCTACACTATTTAGGGAACTAGATGAGACTCCTGACCAGAGGACTTGCCTGTATCACTCCCAGGAGCCACTCCAACAAGGATGAAGAGTATGAGCATTAGAGCAGCAAACAAGCATGAACCACAAACACTTGCTGGTTTTCAAGGGGAACTGCTAAACTTCAAGTTTCAAAACAAAGGACTCCCAGAAATCCAGCTAAGGCAAAAAATTGTATAACACAGCACGACCTGCTCCATGATGGAAGCTACAGAACTTTAATTAACGACTGCTGCTGGGAATCCTACATTTTGTAATGGACTACAGCATCCAGTGCAGATGGAAAAGCTGCAGTTAGACCTGTAACTATGTGTGACAGATTTTGCTTGCAGACAATCAAGGATGATGGAAGCAGTAACAGACCTCCTGCCCATCTGCATGAAGCACAAGAAACCTGTCAGAAGATGGGTACCACTATTTGTGCCACAGAGCTGGGGCCAGGCATGCCAAACACAGCCTTGTAATGTCAAGAGCTGACTAAGCCAAGAAGCAGGAGCCACCATGACAAGGAACAGAAGAAACTGCTGCTCACCACAATGAGAAATTCCCACTCTCCATTTCCTCCAGAAAAGAAACCTTTCTGCTGAAAGGCTTCCTTGTTTGGTATCACAGCATGTGAAACAAAGAGGGAAGAAAGCAAGCAGGGTGTTTCTGGCGAGATCAGACCTGCCTTTGTCACGTTACCAAGTGCTGGGCAGAGCTGTTCTGGTCACACATCACGACTGCTCTGCAAGTTTTCTACATCCCTAATTCTGAAAGACACTTAAGAATGTGCATAACATTTGAAATACATGTCTAATTACAAGACATGGTTTACATCTGAAAGTGGACTGAGTAAGACTAATTCTAACCCAAAATAATCCATTACACTTCAGGTATCATCATGTTATAAAGTCCAACCTCAAGGTTGGCAGACTATAGTTCTGAACTTTTGGCCTAGGATTTTTCTTCCTCCAGAAAATCCAGGAAAATGAACAGGTAAGGATTAAACATCAACAAAAATCCCCAAACTTATGGGTTGGTTTTATCACTATCTTTCAGGACAAACTGTAGTGCAGACCTTCACATACAGAGGATGGATGGTGGGGATGAAGTGGGCAGGATAGGACATGGACAACACAACATGAACTCTCATATCCTCCCCACCTCTACTTCAGTGTGACTTAACCTCTCTTAATAGTCTTATGTGTCTGTGCAACATTTTTAGCATTTGCTAACTGAGTGTCTAGTTGCAGGGCCTAAAGAATAAACCTAAAACCATGCATTAAGGTTCAATATATAGGTGCTTAGAATGGAATTCTGAAAACAATCATGCTGTACACTGAAATACGGTACTGGATTATCTTCATTGCTTTCACCCCATCCTGAACTGACACAATGCTAAACAGACCCAATTAGTTCAATTAAAAAAGGCAACACTCGGTCTAGCAAAGTCATTCATTATAATATTTATTCTATGAAACAATGCTAAAAATACAAGATTAAAAAATGTTCCATGCATTTCATAAAATACAGAGAAAGACACTGTCATAAACAAAACAGAATAAGCAAGCCAAACACCCTCTGAAAATCCCAGGAGCTCCACTCTCCACATTGCATCACATGAATACAAAAAGCATATCCAGGAGAAAGAGCAGCCTGAGGAAAGTGGCAGGTTATCTGTCAGTAACTGGGGTGAGTAGATGTCTTGGTCATGAGCCCACAAGAGTTTTGCCATCACCTTTCTTACTACAAAACCAAACTGATCCAACTTGTTTTCCTTGCTACCATTTCCTGGCATTATCCTTGGCTGGGAAACCAGGACAGCACAGCAGAATTCACATTAAGTTGCTGTCCAGAGAGGTACTAGGGCCCAAAATGAAGGTGGCTATGGAAAGGTATCAGGGCACAGTGGGTGAGAGGGAATGGCACCTGTTACCCTGCTAGAAGCAGGCTGCAGGGACAAGCCTTGACCATCCTCCCAGGAGCACAGCAGGTGGAAAATGCACCTGCTAGAAGAAGGATGGGCAGAAGTGATGCCCTAGGGTGACTTTATGATGTTTGTAGTCTGTTCTGTTTATGCTGGATATTGAGTTCTGCACCTTTAAGACTGGTTCTGAGAGCAAAGGGCAGGAGAAGAAGTGCAGTTTGTTTGCAGAAACTGCACTTGCTCCCCTGCATTGTCTCTCACAGACTGTTGTCTGCAGCATGGGCAGCAGGACAGAGCTCTCCTTTGCCTTTAGTCAGCTTTTTTAGCTAGCTGAGGCAGAGAAGTTCCCCAGGCTGTGGTGTTTCTTTTTCTTGGAACTCACTGGTCCTGCTCTGGACTGAAAACCCAGAAAAACACCAGGAGCTCATGCCTGTAGCCCACCAGGATGGAGCATTTTCCAGTGCAGGAGGAGAAGAGACTGAGGGAGCCGAGCCACACCCCATGAAAAGCACCTTCTGAATTTGCCATCTCTTCAGAACAGCAAGAGGTTTTATTGTTTAATATTATGCATTTTTTATGCTTGTGAATAATTTGCTTGTTAAATAAACAGAATTTTTCCACTTTTCTCCAAGGAAATATTTTCCTGAACCAGCTGGGGAAGGGGCCGCTTGAATCTGCTTTCTAGAGGGACCTGTTTGGAAGCTTCCTCCCAAATTTGTCCTAAACCAGGACAAGCAGGAAATTTATCTAGCACCTCTTTAAGAATCCCAGTCACACAAAAGACACGCTGCATTAAAGATGGATGACAAGAGCAACACCTGCATTTAGGTTACAAATGACATTGCTATAAATCTTACTGAAACATTTTGATCCAGCTCCTGCTCCTCAACCTTCAATGCTGGGTTTGGCTTTAGCAAAGCTGTTACGAGATCCTTCTCTTGGTTTTCTTTTACAGAACCTCCCACACTCCCACAACAGTTAACAACCACATAACCACCAAACACAAAGCCAGACTAATTCTGGGCTCTGATATAAAAGAAGCCCCACTCTTGTGCTGGGAATGCCCCAAAGCTGCCATTGCTGTATTTGGGGAGGGCAGTGTAAGGAAGAACAAGGCTCCACTTACACCAACACCTGCTGCTCCAAAAGCCCCACTCACAAAGCCTTAGGAATACCATAATCAAAGAATTTCATGTGGGGAGGAGCAAGGAGAAGAGAACAGACTGGGATCCTTTCCTCTGCACCTGGGGATGCATCCACTCTTGAGAACAGCATTCTTCCTCCTGCCAGCTCCCAAGCCACCTCTGCTGCAGCGCGGAAGGTTCTGCATCGGCCTCCTGAGAATGATGCATGGGGGGGAAGATTGTTATGGCTGAAGAAGTGGTTTTCATGTTGATCCTTAAAAACATAAAGCTAGAAACTCCTATTTTTAAAGAAAATTCAGTGAAGTGTAATTTAGCCTGTAGCACAAACTATTACAAAATTAGAAGTAAGATATAGAATTGCCCAGTGCTACACCTTAATTCTCTCCCTTTGTATATATATATCAGGAATATGACTTTATATCACATGGTCTTCTCACTCTCCAATTCCCAGAAGAAACCTATTCCATTCCCTGCACAAGCACAAAGGAGTCAGAAAGAAGACACCATAGGAAATCCCATGTCCAGCATTTCTCTCTTGGAGTGCTTGCAGCTAGAATAATGTTTTCTTTGTAAAGTTTTTAAAGTTCAATTATGCTTAATGTGCTCCATTCAGCTTGCATTAAAAAACTAGAAAATGCTGTAAGAAATTAAGGTCTTCACAGGTCTCCACAGGCTTTGGTGAAACACAGAGAGTCTTTTAAAATAATTGCCCAGCTTCCTCTATAGTGGAATTTCTGTGTTGTCCATGTAAACATTATACAGAGTCTTTGTACCACCCACTAAGCTCTTTGCTTCAATCAACTGTTTCTGCCCAAAAGCACATCCTTATGTTTCTTCCTACACCACAGCCATCCTCCTACACCACAAAAGATGTAACAAAACAGGAATTAATCACAGGCTGGATACTTACAGGGATTGCTGCTGTTTGCCTCTGTCTTTGCAGCCTTGGCAAGTTTGGTTGAGTTCTGCTGTGCTTTGCCTTGCTCCTCTCCAGTCAGCAGGGCTTTTATTTCCGAGGGGATTTTCCCTTGGTCCATGGCCATGCACCACTGCTTGTACTGAAATATGCAAACACATTAGGCCTTAGCAAACTGCCAGGATCACATTAGCAGACAAACAGGGCTGTAATCTTTACCTTCCGGTATATTCATTTAAGGTCTGAACGTACTGAGCTGAAGCCTCTTACGAAACTGCAGAGCCCTAATGAGCTGAGCACGTGGCCATGGCCGCATACCTGGCCTCAGCAAAGCCCCTTTCAGTCAATAAACTGCTACTCAGAGGCAGCACTAGACAGAATACTGTAATTATTAAACAACATGGAACACTCTGTGCAATTTCTCGCTGCTGGCATGCGAGAATACCGTTCCAGTTCATGGCCTATTTAAAACAAATATTTCACATGACTCTGGGGCTGATGGGCTACTAAGAGGTCCTTTCCAATTGCGCAAGGCACAGTGGAAGCACATGTGCCTTATTTCTACTTCCCTCATCTTAAATCCTTCACTGCCAAACCCTGAGGCACATCAAAAAACTGTGGACAGTTGGCTGGCTTTTCACCTGATCCTAAACCTGCTGACTTGCAGTGATTAGCCCTGCCCATTCAAACAAACCTGAAGTCAGGTAAACGCAGCGTCCTCAGCGCTGGTGACTTTTCAATGACACCACTGTGTCTGTGTTTCCAGATGAAACATTCTCTTTGGTTAATGCTGCTTATCTGGCCAATACTCCCATTTTACACATCCTAGAACCACCTACACAGAGAGCATGCTGCAAGAATCCAGCTGCCCAACAGAGAAGCAATGGCACTCTGTGGATATATGCTTGCCCTTTGATATTTTAACACTTCTTCCCACAATCTACCTCTGTCAAAGGTTTTTCAAAACCAGACTTCAAAGACAACAGACTCAAATGTAATGGCACTTCCTTTGCTTGCTTCCAGTTCAGAATCAGCAGATAACTTGTGACATGAGTTTGTATTCCACACACCAAAGCAGGCAAACAGCTGGATGCATCTGATGTTTTGATACCTCCTGGCCAGCCAAATGCCTCTGTCAGTCACCGTGGTCCCGAGAACAAGCGTTCATGAGGACAGGTCCCAGATAATACTGAGGGTTAGGTTAAATGATAGTTCCTTACCATTTCAAGCTCTTCTCTGAGAGCACAGATGGCTCGCTCTCTGCTTGAAACCAGCTCTTCCAGGTACTGGTACCTCAGCTTCTTCCTGGCTCTGCACTCTCTTGCACTCTGACGACTTCTTTCAAGTTTTGCCTTCAAGTCTATTTTGGCTGGTTTACGACCTCGTTTGCCTGGTTTCTTTACCTTGCCTCCAACCACCTGGAAAGGAAGGGCACAGTAAAGACCCTGTTCTGCAAAGGCTATGCTGGAACTATGTGACAATAACTACTAGCAGTCTCAAGTATAAAATCATGCATATACTTTCTGGAGCAACAGAAGAAATAAGAATGCTGAGCTCTGAAGTTTTCAGGATTCTCTCCAGTGGCTCTATTTCTCTCTTATACTGGGGAGCCCAGAACTGAACACACTGCTTCAGGTATCTGTGAGGGTATCTGGTTATTGAGGAGGCATAATCAGCTCATAGTGAAATTGCTTTCATATCACCAACAGCCCCTGCTCTAGCAGGTCTGGAAATACTATATTATAGAGATTAACAATTCAATTTAGAAAAAAATATATTTGTTTCTATCAATATAATGCAAAACTTTGTTTTCCTGCAGTCAACAGTTTCAGCCTACTCTAAATTCAGAATTATTCACTAGTGACCTGAGCTTCCTTGGGCTAGATTTCTTTCAAAGGAATCTTAAGGAATTTTACTAAACAGGGAACATAGTCACACCGAGTCCTATCCCTGTTGCCTCTGCTCCAGCAGTACATCACCACTCTGGCCATATTCACCTTCAAAACATTACTCCACAGCCTGGTGAGTCTCCTCACACCTCCTCACACAACCTGTCAGTGCTGAACTCTTCCCTGCTCCTAATGTAGATCCCCCTTGCAGAAATGTAACTCTCTAGTTTCTTGCCCTATGGAACGCAGGTTTTGCAATCACTTTCCTCTCTTCTTTGTAGCTCCTTTTTTATAGGTCTGATAGCTTCTCCTGCTACAAATAAAAATTAAAAAAAAAAAAAACCAACCAAAAAAAAAAAAAAAAAAACCAACCAACAACAACAACAAAAAAACCCAGTTTACTCTGTGTTTTCCCACTCAAATATTTTATTCTTAACATGGGGACATGGCACAAGAAAATCTTAAATATGGTCTGAAGATTAGTTCACTGGTCATTGGGCGGTATCACCCAGTAAACATTACATCAGCCACACACCCCAGCTCCTGTCTGAAGTGAGGATTTCTCTTTATTTGCATTCTGACCACACTGTTTGACTGGAGGGGGTGTGGAGAAATACACCTAACACACACACCTGGATACAAGAATTTCACTGCTGCCTTAGCATTTCACCATCCTGCACACCGACAGACTTTTTCTAATAGGCAGTGTTTAAAATATCAGAGTTCATCATTAAAAAAAAAAAACACTTTTACTGTGAAAAGCTCCAAAATTTCTAACATTCAAAGAAGTCACTTGTTCTGCAAAGTTAGCAAGCTGCAATAAAAACAATAACATAGTGAATTGATGTGCCAGAATGAAGAGGGAAAAAAAGAATTATACAATTGAGCCCATTCTTTCTTTGGAAAGTGAGTCAACAATCACATGCCAACATAATCCTACCCTCTCTGTATTGTCCCTCCTGATTTATTCAGGAGTAGCTGCCTACCATAAGCAAATGAAAGAACAGAAAGTACTTAATGGACATCTATGATAATGAAACAAACACAATAGATTCAGAAGAGCAAAGGAAAAAAAACGAAGCTCTTTTACACTTGAACTGCTGAATACAGTTTAAATAATTCTTTACTTCATCAAGGTGCTCCCCTTAAGATTTTCTTGTTCAAAAAAACTACTGTAGTTCAAAGTAAGTTAAAACTAAGCAGATGTGGCCAAGGCAGGGGGCAGGAGCTCTAAGGAAGGGAAAGTGACTGTCCCCTGTCAGGCATGACAAGGTCTGTCCTCTCAAGGAAACCCTCTCCTGGCTATGGATGACATGCCCAGCTCAGCAGAAGGTGGAACTACACAGAATCTTCCCAGGTGGAGCTGCAAGCACTCACAGTTTGCTCTCTGTTATTACTTGCACTTGGTAGATTGATGGATATTACATCATACACACTAGAGCCAAAGTACTTCAGTTTTCAAAGACTTTCAGCACCTGAGTCTCTTTCTGTGCTAATGCAAGGCAGTTCAAAGTAAATCTCTGAATTCAAGAGCTAGATAAGGTATTGTAGACATACACTGCAGCTCTCTTAGAAAGCCCTGGCCACTCAGGGTTCTGACCCTCTAGAACCAGAGTGAGCTGCCACTCAAGGCTGGGGCCCCAGCACACACCACACTGCTGTGTGACCCAAAAGGTACCTTGAGTCCTAACCCTGCACAGGAGCATTGACAGCCATGTCCTCTCCCCAGAGCCTCAGGCAGGTGAATGGTTCCCACCACACCATTTCTCACAATCAGCAAGTAACAGACTGCTTAGCACATGGCAAATGCATCCCTGGATCCACCATTATCCATAAATTGCTTTCCCTTTGGTCACTCCAGAGAGCTTTCTACAGATAGGTGTGCCAACTGCTCTCCCTACAAGATATTTTACCACTGCAGCAGTCCTGCACACAAGCTCCCTTAGGGCAGGAAAAAGGCTCCTACCTCTTCAACCATGGTTACCTGCCAACGCTCTAACCACCAGGACTATGGAGATAATGAAAAGCTTCCTTCCCTTTTGACTCTAACAATCTGCTTTCACACCATCTCCAAAGACTCATACTGTCTCCATGGCTCCTAGAGTTCATCACACAATTTCACATCACCCTGAAAAGGTAGCAATGCTAAGCAATTTAATCAGATCCTGCATCCTCATCAGTTTTTCCTCACCAATATTTAGAAGCTCCTGCTGTAACCTTAAGCAACCCAGCTGGGGAATAAAAGGCCTGAGAAATCCTTTGCCCCCATACAGCATTACCATATTTCCCTGGCTTCTAGTCCTGTTTGCCTGCTCAGTTGCTACACTGATGTGACAGAAAGAACACAAAGCAGAAGTGATAGTTGATGTTGAACATGGCAACAGACCAAAAAAACATTTTTTTGTCCCTTTGTATTCCTCTGCTGTTTATAAAGAGATGTGATCTATTAGCATTCAGCAGTTGAGATTTGGGGTTTTTTCAGGGAGTCATATGCAATCAAGACTCAGAACAACATTAATCACAAAAATGTTCATAGAAATATTAATAAAGGCATGCATTAGTTGGAGATCTGACCAAGCTTCCATTTCAGTTCACTCAGACTTCACAAAATAGAAGAACATAACTCTTTTCTCAGGCACATGATGTGATTCTTGGGGTGTCCTGCACAGGGCCGGAGTTGGACACGATGATCCCTATTGGTCCCTTCCAACTCAGCCTCTTCTGTGATTCCACAGTTTCCTTTTAATACCCTGCCTAGATCATAACCTCATTCTTGCCTCCCATCAGTGTCCAGGCACAAAGTTATTTGACCTGGAATTGGAAATAGCTGCAATTACTTGACCTGATACAGAAAATTCCTCAGACTTATGGGGGTTTTTTTATTAGAAGCATGCAGCAGATCTCTCCAAAATCCTTGCCAGAATGCACGGCAGAGAGGTCCTCCACAGGAAGGAGATGCACACCTAATACAGCTACACTGCATCAGCTCCTCACTCACAACCCTGAGCTGGGCCCCTCAGATAGAAGACAGGGGTGGAGCTGGCTTCATCATGACATCTGCAAGTTTGAATCAATTCAGCAGATTAAAACAACAGGTACTGCTCAGCACCACTGACCAGCAATGCTGATCACACTGACCAGTCAGCATCTGCCACCAGCTCCGAGTTCCTTTACCAAGAAACAAGGAGCTCCATCAACCAGTACTTGAGATCCATCTTAGGCACACTCTGCATTGTATTGGCAGCTGAAGGTATAGGTCTGCAGAACTTAATGCAGCATGGAACTGGTGATCTTCTACAGAACCTATATAAAACTATAAAGATTATTAGTAAAAAATAAAACCTATGGGCTGTGTTACAGTAGAGGGGGGAAGAATCTATTCCTACTTGCAAACATTTTTACAAAATCAGAAAGCAAATGAAGCCAGTCACAAGTCTCCTAATAAAGAGGAAGTTTTCTGATCTGCCAATTCAAAGCATACCACTCACAGCAGCAGTACAAAACCCAGCTAGAGAGCATGCTTGTTATTCCTCCATTTCATGACATTTTATATGCCCAACACAATTCTTTTACTTTCACTGGCAGACAAAATGCATCCGATAATGATCCAAAAATGTAAGATACTGTTTAGTGAGCAAACACAATCTAAGTCTTAAGCAGATGTGTCAACAGAAATTAATCCTAAAACTCTCACCATACAAAGTGCTTCATGTCTTAAGAATGCCATGTTCAGTACAGAGGCATAAAGAATACTGTCTTTGCTGCAATGTCTGCTTTAAAAAAGCATGAGCTAGGGATAAATGTCAAGTTCTCATAAAGTGTTATGCAGGCACCCAGATGGGTAAGTGCTAAAGTTCAAGGCAGCAGTCACTCAGATGCCACCTTGCCACTCCACAGGTGACAGCCCTGCTCTTCCCCAGGGAAGGACTTACAGCCTCACACAGGAGTTATGTCCACCACTGTGCCCTACACATTCTCTCAGTTCTCATGAATAGAAACCAGGCACTTTTCTAAACCTGTCTGTGTCAGAACTCGGGCTCAGGGATGGTCAGCTAACTCTACCATGTGTATCCTTCCACACCACTGTAACAATTAAATAAAACTGTCCTAGCTGGCTTAGAGGCTTCAATCTCCTCCATTTTAATCACTCCTTGCAGATGTGTCATCTGAGAAATGCTGAGCAGGAGCTTTTTAAATTTAATGATTTGAAATTGCTCCTATCAAACTATAACCAAAGCTGTTAAAGTTTTATATTTCCAAGCAAGCAGTAATGCGAATGCTTTGTTTGGACATTGTAATATATGGATAGTGGGATGTTAGTTCTCATGAATGTTGAATGTATGTTAGAAGGATGAAAGAAGTTTTGCTAAGACCTGGTTTTATATATATATATATATAAGTTTCATAACATTGAAAGTTGATCTCCAACCATGGGGAAGGCTGAAGCATGAAGAACTGCACACTCCAAGAGGTGGGAGGAAGGAGGAGCTGGGTCAGAGTGGGACACATGTACAAGTGTGGGGAGGGCAGGCTCACCAACAGTATATGTGGGGTTGTTAGGGGTGTGGGTGGTGTGCCTCTGGCTGCAGCTAAGCACCCAGCACTATCCCTTTTTCCTTATTCAGTCCCTTGCTGTGATTCAATAAATCTTTTTAAATTCTAAAACATGAGGCATCGTTTCTCACAGACATGATCCTGGTGGACGACTGCTCCAGCACATTGAGAACCTGCATTCTCTGAAAACGCCCTGAAGGATGAAAACATAGCAGCCCACCTCCTTAGCAACTGAGGTCATCTCCACAGTAGCTCTGTCCCTGCTGTGGCATTCAGAGCATTACCCAGAGCTGACTCCAGGACTGCCTGGGAGATCTCTCTGTCCCTGATCCCCATCAGCCCCAGCACTGAGGGTCAGAGGCTACAAGACAGCTCATGGCCAAAGACCCCTCAAGCTCTGTATTTGAAACACAAGATTTCAGACCTGCTTTGCTCCCACACTCCCTCCAAGGGACACCTCCATCCCCAAAATTATGACTCAGGACCACACAGAACTGAGTACTGATGTCTCACAGCCAGGCTGGGTGGAAAGCAACCCAGCTCCTCGGGTGTAGCCCTTTCCTGAGAGCTTTCCCCTGCAGCAACACCATGTGCTCCCTCGGAAAGGAAAGCTGCATGAACACCAGAGCAAGAAATGAACAGCTGCTGGATCCACAAATATAGTAATTAATATCTTTTCTGTGCAAGACAAGAATATTTGTAATAAAAGACAGCAACCCCGACCTTTTTTGGTGGTGGTATGGTTTTTGTTTGCTTGTTTTTAACTTCACTGGAATAACAAAAGTGATGTTACAAACTTTTATTTCTTATTTCTAGCCATAAACTGAAGAGTTAGTTACCAAAATAAGTCTTGTCAGTGTCCCCTATAAAAAACTCTGTCATTAATACAAAAGATTGCAGTTAGCTGTATAAAATTGTATTTTAATGTTGGCTAACAAGAGTTATCAAGTTCTTACCCAGTCCCTATTCTCTGCTTCCCAATGCATATAATAAATATATAATATGTTATATGTAGTCTTGTAAACTAACCAAGAAATTTCACCTATAAAGGCTGAAGCCACCATAACAGAGCTTCTCCTTTTTCCTCTGTCCAAAGACTTCAGAGATGCACAACTGATGCTTTAACATGGATTAACTGCAAGTAACAGCTACATCACTAAATTCTTTCCCTTCCACACCCAATAGCTCAAATCACAGCGAGAGGTGAGGCCAGTACCTGAACAACCCCAGGTTAAAAGCAGTTCCACAGAAGAAAAGGAGGTCATATTTTGGGGTTGGGGCTCTTTGGGGTTTTTTGTTTGTTTGGGTTTTTGTTTGTTTGGGGGGTTTGGGTCTTCTTGTTTGTTTGTTTTTTGGGATTTTGTTTGTGTCAATATTTTAAGAACACTCTTCTGAAATGAAACATGAAATTTTTCTACATCTGATATTAAGATATTCTACCTCTCCCTTTATTTCTTGCTATTTCCTTCCAATTTTGAGGAATGTGTTGCCAAGAATCATTCTTCTAATGCCCTCCTAAACCAGACAAGGCTAAATTAAATTGCACTATGAATTAGGGAAAACTTTGCAGCCTGCAAGCCCAGTTCTAAATTCTTTGTGTCATTTATTTGAAGGCAAACACTGAACTTGGCTGCAGGCAGTTATAGAATGGTCACTACACTACCAACACAATTTAGTTGGTTGAGTTTTTGCAGGGGAAGTCCTTTCACAGGCCAACCCCCTCAGCAAGGAGGAAAGCATAACTCAGTGGAATTTTTAGGAGATTTCAAGGACATGCTGACTCCAGTGTAACCACAGTGGCCATAAAATGAGGTATAAATAGTGCTTGCCTCATCCTGACACAGCAACCTGCAATGGGAAGAGCCCTCCTAAGGGAAATGGCATCTCTTGAACAGAGTCACCAAACCCTCAAGGTGACCTGCAGCCTCATGAGCTATAAAAACTGTCCTTGGGCGTGAAGATAGCAAGAAGAGTGAATATTCCACTCTGTGGTCTTTCCCTATTCAACTCAACATCAATTTTAAAAAGAAAAAAAAGACCAAATATTTGACTTACTGACTGGGTAAATATTTATTTTATTTAGTAAGTGTGTCAAAAAATGTTTCAGAGAGGAAAAAAAAAGCATACTATCACAACTCCACATGACACAATGGTAGACCAAAAATTATTTTTAAATTAAAATCTGGAAGTTGGGTAATACAAAGAGCCCAAGTCAGACAGAGAAGAACACAAAAATAAATAAAAATCAGATAATGCTCATGAACTAGATACGCCTCCAGAACTAAATCTTCTGGATCTTCTAAATTACTGCCCCAATTACAAAACTTTCATGCAGCTCCCAGAGTTGTGAGAGATCAGTGATGCAGATTTCCCCCAACCTCCTTGACAGCTTTCAGGCAAGGCCTTAATAAAATAAAACAGTATAAATGTTAAAATAGCAGATCACCATAAACCTTCCACAGCCTTACAACCCATTCAGTGGATTGTGGACTGCCAAATTACTGATCGCTTCTGAATTTCTTTATTCCATAAGAAATCGTGTCAAGCACTTCCCCCCACTTTGAATTCAAGCAGATCTTCATAGGCTGTGTAATTTTGTCCCAGTAAAATTCCAGTGGTGTCTCCAGCACCACCCCCCGGGATAACCCATAACCAGCACTCCAGGGAGCTGAAACAGCCAGCCTCAGCTGAGCCTGAGCCGCACAGCGCTGCAGGGAGCAGACACGGCCGCTGTCCCTGCAGGCAGGGGGAACATCCATTCCTTGGGCACCTCCTCACGTTCGGCTCTGCTCAGCTGGAAGCCCCGCACCTTCAGGGATGCCGCTGTGCTGCTCTCACGCGGTTCTTCCGATGCTGGAAGAATCCAAGTTCCAGCAGGCAGTACAAGGCTGCCACCCACGCTGCCGCCCTCGTACCTCACCGTTTGGGCACAGCTGCCATTTATCTAATCAATCCAGGGCGCCGCTGGGAGCATGAGCCACTGCACCACACCACTGGTGGTATCCAGCTTTGGCCCATGCCTGGAGGTTTAAGGAAACGCCAGAAGCAGCACTGAAGCGCTGCAAGCAACAACTAAGAGGACAACTCTTCCTTCCTATCAGCTGCGGCAAGCAGAGCTCCTCAAGAGCAGATGTCAAAAAGCTCCCTGCACAAGAGCCTCACTGGTTGCTCTCGGCTCCAGCTCCCGGGCGGGCCCCGCAGGCCCTTACCTTGCTGTCATCCATGTGTGCCGCCAGTCCCGATCCCCCTCGCCGCAGCCCCTTCACGAGGAGCAGGCGGAGCCGCCCGCCCGCCCGCAGCCCCGGCAGACACCGGCGCTCACAGAGCCTCAGGGCGGCCCGAGACCGCCGCCATCGCCCACTGCCATGTTTGTTTACAGATGAGGGGAGCGGTAGCACCGTCAGAGCGGTGCACGCTGGGAAGTATAGTCTTGTTCGGCCCCGTCGCTACTGGCCGCCGCCCTGACGGGGACCGTAAAAACTACAACTCCCAGCAGACCCAGCAGAGGAGTGGCGCGACGATTGGTCCTCGTCTCACCGACAGAGGCGAACTACATTTCCCAAGAGGATCCGGGCGCTCCCCGCCTCACCGCAAATAGTGACTTTGTTGTCTGTTGGTGTTTTTTGCGTTTGTTTGTTTGTTTATTTGTGTTTTCTCTAACGCTCGCACCATTCCACGGCTGCTCTGCTGCAACCGAAATGGCTCTGGAAAGATGACCGGGGCTGGTGGGGCCAGGGCTGCTGCGTCCGACCCTGGCACGGGCTGTCTCGAGCTAGATGGAAAAAAAAAAAAAAAAAAAAAAAAAAAAAAACAAAAACAAAAACAATAAAACAACAAATTTAAGTTTTCTGCTGTTTTTTGCCTTGCTTTGCCCTAAGAGTTCCTGAAGACAGAATTTTCCAGGCCACCTGGACACCACTGAGCTCCCCCAAGCCTGGAGAAGCAGTCCCTTGGAGAACACCCAGTTTCCCTGTGGACACATGGCACAGGTCTCATGTGGAATGCCTGAGGTAAAGCCAGGCCTTCGTCCCGTGTCTGTGCCTCCAAATGAGGCCTGTGCTTGCTGGAAACTCACAGGTACCCCTGTACACAATTCTCTTAAGCGTGGCCCACGTTTCAAGCTAGTGGTGAAACCTGAAGCTTGGCGTGTTTCATGTTGCTGCATGTTTCTTTTTATTCATGCAGCCCTACTCGCAGGAGTTTCCCATGACTTAATCTCTTTTACATGCAATTGTTAGGGCTGAAGGCTTTGTCATGGGATTTTCCCCCTGAATCACAGACCTTCCTCTTGGAGGAATATGCCTGTTAGATGGCAGAGACAAAGCACTTTCTGAAGCTTTTTTTTTTCCTCTATAAGCTTATATGCTTCTCAGTTGTCAAAGACAAGGCAGTTTGCACACTGCTTCCTATTTGCTTGTCCAAAAACCAGTGAAACAGTTCTGGCAACTCTCCCTTGAAATAATAGCAGTAAAAAAGCAGGGATGATCAATGCATCAAACAAGAGGCATCACTAATAAAGTGGAAGGAATAGCTTGCTATGAGCTTGTCTCCTGTGATCCCACCCCCATCATTACCTTCAAATTCTTCCAGAAGGTGGTGAGGCTCCTCCTACTGCCTTTGGCACTATCCTCGGGCCATAAAGCTGGCTTTAAAATCCAGCTGGGGGTTTCCCCGGTGAAGGGAAATATTGAGTGGCAAAGAGCCAACATAGCTCACTTAGGCAACTCTCTGTTGCAACATGAGTGGAGGAAGGAGATTAGACAGAGCCCTGGTGCTGATTCAGAAAGGCCAGAATCCTTTTAACCAGCAAATTAAAGTTATAGCTGCATCTTTTCTTCCCACTCGATTGCCCCACACTACCCATCCTGCTTTATATCACGTAAGAAGAAGAGCTCCCGGCTTCTGACAGGGATAAATAAAGCACAAGTTCCCTGTCTCAGCACTTAAGAGCTTCTGTATGTTAGCAGGGAACAACTCCAACTATGCACTGCAGTGTGCTTTCCACTCTGGCTCTGCTGTCCTCCTGGCTGAATTCAGACATGTGAGTTGAGTGGGAGTCTGTCAGAAAGAACAATTGTGAATTGAACTGGTATTACATATATATATATGCACATACGGAGAGAGGACAAGATTAAGACATTTTAAACTGATTTTAACTGTTTAAGCATTTAAACCATAGTGATGTACACCAAGGAAATCCTACCTTTTGTTACATTCAGTGTCACAAATTGTTTTCTGCAATAACTATTGGCAGGTCCCTGATGAAATTAGTAATATTTGTTAAAAGAAGGGTTGTGCTTCTGAGATCCAGAGAGACTTTGAGGAAGATAAATAAAGTGAGTTCAGCAATCAGGCAATAGCTTAAAAATCATTGCTTATGTCAGTGTGACTAAAAAAAGAGATATAACTCACAGGGTGATTTTGCACCATGTGCTCATATTTCAACACATCCCAACAGGGCGTTTATTCTCCCTAGATCTGTAAATGTGTTAATTCAGGCAATTCAAAATCTGTTCCTCTGAAATCCTGCCTGAAATAAAAATAAATCTTGCAATCTTTTGGTATCAAGCATTTTGCTGAAATTGCTCCACTGTATATTTGTGGAGTCTTTAAAGATTCAGAGCCTTTGAGATGAGTTCATTTATGGATACGCAGGCAAAGATAAAGCTAAGATATTCTCTTGTTTGTTTTCCAAATGTACTGAGATGTTAATTGCTTTAATAGAGATGCTAACTCATTTGCCATGGGGCAAAGACGGTTCAAGAACAGCCTTTCAATCCCTTGGGGTTTGGGGGTTTTTTTGTGGAACTGATAGAGAAATTGCATTTTTCTGCATCCTTTAATATGATACCCAAGAAATGTTTCTGGAAATAGAAGAAATTCTGTCTTTCAGTTTGTAGACTCTGTTCACACTGAGACAGAGAACACCTTTAACTTATCATTTAAACCCACCAGTTAAAGCATTTGTCACCGAGGAGTGACCCAAAAAAAGTTTATGTACCTAATATTCTATATCCTATTGTTGTTCATATAAAAGTATACCAGTTTGTTGTTGGTTTGTTGGTTTTTTCTTACATTAGAGAAATTAGCTATATATGCTAAAGACCTGGAAGACCTGGTAAACACATGAACAGCACACGCTCACAAGTACAGTGACTGATCACACAAGTGGTATGATTAAAAGAAAATTCTGCTTAAAACAAATGTTCTTCGAAACATGGTTTTTAAAACCTAATCAGTGTTTGAACAAAGCACAGCACATTGGAAGCCTGATCTGCAACTACTTCCTAAACACTGTATAATTAAATGTTGATAAGAGGGTTACTCTCATATTTTCTAAATTCTACTTTGTGGCAAGATGAGCATCTTCTGTAGTTGCAAATGTGTAAAGTCGCATCTCCAAGGGGAGTTCTTCCTGTTTAGCTCTTGCAAATGTACTTCTCAAGTAAAATGGACTCGAAATAAGATAATTTGGAATAATCAGCTCTTGTCCTGTGCATACACACAGGCAGAAAAGTTACTGCTTTATCTAGCCAGACTAACTTTCCCACATAAGCAAAATCTTGAGACAGTGCTCATGATGCTTTTATATTGCTGAAGAGTATCTGTAAATTAAAATATTGCATGAAAACGTTTATGCTGCAGTTGGAAAGGAGCTACATTATATTTTTTAGCTTGTGGAAGGGAGAAAAAAAAGTTAGATGATCCTACACTTCACACATATGATTAGTAGTTCCAAATATGATCAGAGGGGAAAACTAGAAATGGTTCAAAAAGCCATTTGATTAACATGGATTTCATACAAAATTTATACTAAATATAAGAAACTGAGAGCCAAGGATCAAGACAAACAAATCACTGATTAAGAAGATGACAAAGAATGGGCTGAAGTTCAGTGAGGTGTGCAAATGAGTAAAACTTTACCTTGTTCTGAAACAACAAACAGAACAGCACAATATGCCATGTTCAGGAATGTGAGAGCCATGTTGTATCTGGCACTTGAACAACAGAGAATTATTGCTGCTGATATGGTAATTGCAGAGGTACAGAAGAAAAGTGGGTGGATCATGTGAAATTCATGAAATACTTGAGGTGAACTTACAGCAGGATTAGTCTTTTAATTGTGTACATTGATCTCTATGCACAACTGGTTTACTAAAAAGGCATATTGTTCATTCTCAAGAGGTTTAAAAATCCACTTTAGCTCAGTATCTCTTTTATTTTTTTTTTTTTTTGGTTCTTAAAATGTTTTGCAACATGCTACTCCCCTTTGGCCTACGCAAGCAAATATGTCTGCATATGCATACCTACTAGAGCCAGTCAAAACTGCTGCCAGTAGCTGGCTTTTCTGGTAAGAGCATTTCTGGTTGCTTTCCACAAGACAGAAAATCATTTTAAACACTTTTGTCCAGCCCCAGATTCTGTGGCATGGGCTGTGCTCACATTCAAATAGTTTACTAATCTAAGTCTGATACTGTTGTCTTGTCCAAGGGCATAAACAAGGTTTCTGCACAGCCTGAGCAAAAACTGAAGGACTTGTATGGCAGGCTGGATCTCTGCACTGTAACTGGGTCAGAGGACTTCCATGATGGCCTTGACCACTGTCAGAAATGCCATTGTCCCTTATGTGAAAGGCTGGGGCATCACATACAGCACTTTGCCCTGGTCTGCACTGCTCACTCCATCTTAAGTCAGCATCACACCAGCTAACTTCTGCTTTGCAACTGTGTTTAAGTGTATTGGATTTCCTGTGTTGCTGTAGCTGCCCATTAGCCTTCTATTTGTGTTTCATGAGGTTTGTATTTAATGAGACTGCTCATGTGAACAGGAGTTACAGGATCAAATCTGCACGCAAAAAGTCTTGCATTAATTTGCAATAAATGTAAATGAAGGATGCACTCCTGGATAACACACACTAATTCACAGGGAATTTCACTGCAACAGGGAAAATACATTGCAGGCACCTGGGAGGTGTCAGGCTGCCTGCCTCACCCATCTATATCCATGCAGGGGAAATGAAATTGGGTTGTTTCAGAAATACACTGAAAAAAGAACTGTTACCCCTTAACCTGTTGTCAGCTCCCTTCTTCATGACTCCCAAGATGTTCCTGACATGTCCCAGTGTTCCTATTCCACCAATATCTCCTGAAAAAAAATCCACCAACTTTTCCCTTGCTTTGGAGAGAGCTGGGGTTGTTCAGCCTGGAGAAGAGAAGGCTCCAGGTAGATGAAAGGGGAAGAACAATTAACAGGTAACACTTTTTGTAATGTGACTGGGGCTACCACAGTTTGACTCACATGGGTAGGTTGGTTTTAGAGAATGTTACTTTTAAGCATGTATTTTGAAAAACAGGCTGATAAAATTTTGCGTTTTACTTCACCGAGTTTACAAAAATTTGCCTATCAGGAGGCCAAGTACA